CTCCAGCAAAGAATTTAAGTGTACACTTAAAACTGAGCATTTGAGCAAACATTTTGCTAGCATGAGAGCACAGAAGACACATCATGAAAGGGGTGACCGAGTAGGTCAGTACCCCTATACTCCTGCAACAGCTTTGGGAACCAGATCGAGGAAGTCACAAGACACTTAAAATTTTGTTACAGTATTACCATTTGCTTCCCTACTCCCTGCCTACTCACATCCTTCCAGATCAAGGACAGGTCTACACACTTCTGCAGGCAGAGGAAAGTGTGCAAGCTGACTGGAAGCTATGCGCAGTTATTTCAGATTCTTCTGCACTTCATGAATAAAGCCCCTGCTGGAAGGTACAGTATATTAGCTTGGGCTTCATGCCTGATTTAGACAGCTTGCACGTAGCTGAAAAACACAGGGAAACACTCCAAAGTATTTTCTGTTAACAGAAACACATAAGGATGCTGGGGAGGGACTCTGTTAGAGACTGTAGTGGTAGGACAAGGGGTAATGGGTTCACACTTAAACAGGGGAAGTTTAGGTTAGATATAAGGAAGAAGTTCTTCACAGTGAGGGTGGTGAGGCACTGGAATGGGTTGCCCAAGGAAGTTGTGAATGCTCCAACCCTGGAGGTGTTCAAGACCAGATTGGACAGGGCCTTGGGTGACATAGTTTAGTGTGTGGTGTCCCTGCTCATGGCAGGGGGGTTGGAACTAGATGAGCTTAAGGTCCTTTCCAACCCTAACTATTCTATGATTCTATGCATACATGCAAACTACAGGAGCCCGTGGTTATAAACAGTGCTTTATCTTATTTCACAGTAAATGTAAAGGAGTCATGAACCTCACAGAAATACTACTGACTCCAAGAAAGCTTTTTTTTAGTTTACAAACTACTGAAATACTTTGTTATAACTAACAGGTAACAAGGTCAAGCAGAGGCTTTCTTTTGCCTTTTACGAATTCTTTTTCGGGGGGGGGGGGGGGAAATTTAAAATTGTGTTTGTCCTACATAATGCTTTTGCACATAAGAAGTGAGTATGAAACTTTTTTGTGCTACTATGTCAACAAGTTTTCTAATCACTAGAGACGAAATCTTCTTGTGGACAGCCTTCCTGACTCCGCAAATTAGTGTAGTCTTCTTTGACACCATCTTTTAAAATGACAGCAATAAAAATGCCACACCAATTTATTTTGGCTGAGGCTTGAAAAGAGGAGGTATAAGAGCTGATGGAACTATCCATAACACATCACTGTCATTCACCTGAGACTGCTGTAAGAAATTAGCGATGTCAAGTTCAAGGCTTGGCTCTCAGCACGACATTTGAACAAGACAAAGAAAACAGAATCTCAACCATGGATTTTCAAGAGAATTGTGAACACTATATCTTGCAATAATAGGATGTGACCTCAAGCACCAGTTTGCGTCACTCCTCCACAAGTGGCTGTACAAGAGCTGTGTCTGGAAGGAGTCCCTACCCCAAAGCCAGGCTGCAGAGTCGGGGTACAGCTCACAGTAGTTCCTCATGGATAAGTCAGTTCTGCTTTCTCTCAGTGGTGCTCCCTTCTCCTCTCTGCTCACAATACATTGAATGGGAAAAGTGAGGAGCAGCAGTGTCCAGACAGCCTGGAGTCAGTGCAGGGGAAGCAGCACAGCTCTGGTGCGTGGCAGGCTGGAGGAAGATGAAGAAATAAAGGAAAGAAAAGAGAGGACAGAGAAACATGTGGAAGAGGCATGGTAACTGTCATGTGGCTTATTTAACAGTGTTTTACTATTATGTCCCAGGCTCTGTGCCCACACACTTCCAAAACGTGTGTGTGATGCACAAGTATGCACGCGCAATTGCATACATGCTCCTGCATATACATTTGGAGTAGAGATTGGGAGGTTGTAAGGGAGATTTAGTAACAGAAATCTCAGCCTTGCTTGTGACATATTTATAACTTTCCATGCACTGTGGGTCAATCATTTACAAGAATGTCTTTTGCTTCTGGTAAAATCAACCACAGGAAGGGCAAGGAAGGATGTAGTGGTGGCAAAATGCAGAACCCATCATCACCCTGAAGAGTGCAACGACAAAAACTGAAAGTCTGAGCTCCCCAAAATAAACTGTCTCTGTTTGAGGGCTGTAACAGCAAAAAGAGGAACTTTTGGTCTTGATTCTGCTATTACAGAGGGACCAAAAAGCTGTAACTCAAGCAAGTGGTCACAAGCAAGTGCCAGGAAAGTGACTGAAGAGCCACACTGGTTGTAAAAAAAAATAAGTGAGATGAACCATGAAACTGTAAGGAGCACAGTAAAGAAATACTATGTATATCAGGTCAGCTAAGCTAAGAGGAAGGCACAGGCGCCAAAAAGCCACTTTGACACAGCAAAGCATAAGTGGGTGTTTAATGGGTGGAGCCAGCAACAGAACCCAGCAACAATGGCCTTACAGAGGAGGGACCACGCTTGTATCCTGCCCATCCCAGGGAGAGTGAAAGGGCACACATGGAAAGAGTTTGGTGTCAAAGATCAGCAGTTCTATGCCAAGAATCATAGCTTTTCATTAGCAGAGAAGAGAGCAAGGCCCCAAATTGCCTGCCCTTCCATTGCTTTGTTTTGACATGGGGCTTGACATGGGTGCAAAGCTACGGTAAACACACGTACTGTGTTACAGAAATGAAAGAAAAGGAAAACAGTTCTTTTTTTTTTTTTTGTAAAAAGATGGATATTTTTACAAAATACAGAGCCAATCACGCAATTTAATTCTACAGAACAGGAAGGAGCTCAGTAAATTGCTGTAAAAATATCCATCCTTATGCAACCAAAATGCCCACTATGGACCAGGCATTAGAAATAGCTGTGAAATGGCACCATGGACCTCCCCAGCACCCTGATTATGTATCTAGGGACAGAGCTTAATCTCAGCTAGCAAGTGTACCCCTGGTAGTGACCTCTTTTGCAAAATGACCCGAGCAGTCACTTCGTACATAGCTTTAGGCCTATATTCTACTCCCTAAAACTTATTTTCTTTCGTCACAAACCCTGTTATATAATTTAATGCAAACTGCAGATAAAAGAGATAAAATAGCAGCATTTTGATTTGTCAGGCATTTGAACTTTCATTATAAACATTCATACAAGGAGTAAAGAGTCATACAAGAAAGGAGCTACAGATGCTTTCTAAAAATACTATCACCTTCAGTGGGTATCTTATGTACAGTCCTACATAAAGCACAAAAGTAGAACATGGTCAGGTACGCCAAAAACATAGTAACAAGACTTACTTATTTAAATGTGCTGCAAGCACACGATTGTAACTCAGTAGCTGGTTTTGCATTCCTTGATTGAAAGAAACATTGCATAATACTAGTGTAACTATAGACTACTTTCTTTTCTTTTTCCATTGAGTATCCAATGCCTAACAACACTTAATAAGCATAATGAATATAGAACACTCCCTATCCCCTTCTGGTTATTTCTTCTTAGTAAAAACATTTTTATTAAATTTGGCCCTTATATGAAACACCAAATGAAAAATCAAATCATTTATGATATAATCAAGAAATATTTGGTCTTTATTTTTTTTTAATGAAAAAAAATCTTTTCAATACTCATAAGATAAACTATTTTTGATACCAACCGCTCTGAAGAATTGATAACCCACTAAATAAAAACCTTCAGTGTACATTCTGCCTTTACCAGTAGAGAAGCAAAAGTGATCAGAAAAAGCTTGAGGGCCCCACAATGTAACTCAAAAGGAGAAAACAGTAAAAAGGCCCAGTTTTTCTTATTGAATAACTAATATATCTGAAATAATAGGAATCTCCTCAATGCAAGTTCACTTGGTGTAGCAACTGAAGCTACTATTTAAAATACACCAATAATGGTAATGTGATTTAGGCTTTGATTGATATAAATAAGCTGTTAATGTCAAAAGAAGACAAAGCTAAGTGGACATTAACTGTCTTGCTATGTTGTTATTTCACACAAAACCGAGCCTACCAAATCCTGCAGAGTGCCTATGCATACAGGGAGACTGCTCACTTTTCCTACTCTCAGCAACTTGCCAAGTAAAGTCATGTTGTGCACTAACATGAGCCAGAAATCACAAGAGGGAAAACTCTTTTGATCAGGCAGGTTTTGTGTGTGACAGTGTGCTCCCTGCCCTGCTCTACCCCCCTCCTTAACCTGACCTTTATTTCCCATAACCCTGCTCAAGTGATAATCACCAGAGGCGGTCACAGTGGATACATCTGGTCATGATGGCTGCATCCAGCTCAAAGTGGATTTGGAGGAGACAGATAACAACACAACAGCAGAGGGCTAATTCAAGCAATGCACCCACCTAACCATAGTGCTGGTCAAGGTCCGAATCAAGCCAAGTTTGGAAGAAACTTAACAGCTGTAGTTGGTATGCAAATATGACTAAGCCAATTATTTTACTCCATAAATAGTGGACAGCCATGGGCTTCTTGAGCTTTCATGCATGGCAGAGGGCTGCACACCAGGATCTTCCCTTGAGCAGGGACATCTCTCAAGGTTACTCCTCCAGGTTGAGAAATACCTTGACACAATAGATTCTTGTTAAGTGATTAATAGCATGGAAAACTTTGAAATCTTAGCTAAATGATATGAAGGATTGATTGTGCACATATAATTCTTCAGACATAAACCACTGACCAAGCCTGGGACTGATTCTGGATCCAGTTGCACCTAAACTCCCCTCTGAGAGGTAGTTTCAAATGCAACATGGGTCCTTTCTGAACATTGTGACTCAATGGAAGAGTCTCCCTGACAGTTTTGTCTGACCTTGTCCTCTATGCAGTAAACAGTCAAGCGCACCGTGCCATTGAATCTTGTTAAACCACTGTCACATTTACTATTAAACTTTGTTAAATTGCTCTTTTATATCAAGAAACATATGACTACTCTCTTATGAGTAAGGTGCATCACTCCATCCACAACAGTGTGAAGTTTAATCATGTAACACTTTTCTGGAAGCAGTCACAACAAATAAGACATACCTGATGTGCCAAAATATAGATATTATGGCCAACATCTTTTGGGGAGATGCCATCATCTCCATTCTCCTCCTCATGGTCACATTCAAGGCCTTGGTTATAAGCATTCTTCATCACATCCACCTGTAATACAAAGCCAGCCAGGAAGAGATGAAATAAATGCCGTTCTTGGGGAAAAAGCACACTGTGTTTGAACACACATGCTTTGTTCAAATCAAGCCTGGTTAGATGCCCTGCAGTTCTGTGAGAAGAGCAAGCAGTCTATGAAACACTTTCTGAATAAAGACAAGCTTGAAGTATTTATGAAGCTCCAAACTGCTCCATTTCTCATCAGTAAAACTACGATCATGAGAAAGGAACAGGAATGCTGAGCCTTTTAAGCAGGTATTTTCACAAACGCTTTTAAAGACAGAACTACATACAGTGTTGTACAGCACTTAGAGTGCAGCCATGATCTCCCTCTGGCTAAAGCAGGCCGACACATCACCCAGCATTCTCTACACAGCTTAGCAGAAATAAAAAAAAAACCAACCAACTAAACCAAAAAGGAAAAGAAGACACAGGTCTGGGCCGGGTGCTGGGGAAATGCCAAAATATTCAAAAGCCTCTTACAGGACCAGTGGGGGGAAATCCTCCATTCCCCACTCAGGGCCTGATCCTGCAATTGTACCTTAGGGATGGCCTTATCATGCTGCCATGCCACCTTAGCGATAATGCTCCAAAACAACCAGGCCACTGGGCTCTGCCAAAGGGCAGAGCTGATGCCCACAGATCTCCCCACCATACAGTTTTTTCTGTCACTGCTGTTGCCGTTGCAATTGGATTGACCATTCTTCAGATTTCCAACCTATTTAAAACTCCTGGAGACCTACAGAAGCATCACGGCTGTTCCCAAATACAACTGTTTGTAACTCTCTTTGTTCATACAAAATACACACATTATATATACTACATGTCTCCACACACATTTCTGTTAGCACTGTTTCACAAACTGTACAAGCTTAATTTGCCAGCCCCTGACAAAGTGTACTTGAAGACAGTCTACCAGAGTATGATAATTCAGTTAGGAAACAATTACAGAAAAGTGCTTGGAACAGATAAAAATAATGAAGTCGTAAAGACTGAAATCATGTGTGCTTGATCCTTTTAAAGGACTTTTTGTGAATTGTTACTATCCTGATACATTGTGTCACCATATGCTGCCAACACTTTTCAGCTTAGATGCAGATAATTTTAAAAATGTTTTAATGACAGATTTATTTTTTTTTTCCAGCCAAAAGATTTATGAATATTCAGAAGTTTTCTCACCAGTTCCCTTGGTCTCATGTTGAAAAGGATTCTTTCCGCATTCTCACTGTCATGCCTGCTTTCCATAATAGCCAGCAAAAGCTTGGAGGCATTGTTCTAGAGATATAAAACCATGTTAATGCAAATTTTAAATCTATTTCATGGATTAATGACCCTTGCATTTGTTTTAATTGAGATTACGAGGACCACTTTTTTAGTGGATAACATTTTAAACTACTTGTATCTCTTATTTTACTGACATAGTTAATAGAGGGTTTCTCCCATTTGGATGTCAGCATACTGTAAGGCTAACAAACCCTGCATGCTATATTGGAAGAAGCATTTTAAATATTGAAAAATATTTTACTTAAATACAGAACTTTGCTCTACATTGTGCACAAGAAATGAAATTGCATTTTCTTTTCTTGTTGCCCACCTGGCAATTTTTGCCATGGCTTTCTCTTAAAACAATACTCAACAGAGGTAATTATAGAATGCATTACATGAAAGGTTTCATCATGCAGGCAGGTTTCCTTCTCCTTTCGTTTTTATAAAGTCTCACTGATTATTACTCCAAAGACTATAAAGCAAACTATTTTCATACATTCCTGGAATTTCATTTCACTACCAAATATTCCTGGGGGACCGTATAAAGATATCTTTTACTTTACCAGTCAACTGGCTGCTTTTCACAGAGACTTCTCCCAGGTATCAAATAGCATGAGATTTAGCAGCAGTAACCCAGTAGTGCCTTAGACCTGTCTGTCTTCCAGTTAAATCAGTTGTGAACAAGAAAGGAAGAATAGGTTTGGATGTTTATGCTTTCTGGCAGAACATGGTTGCCTTGGTTCACGTGCACAGCGTCCCTTCATCATGGCCCATTGTTTGAATACTTGGAAGTAGACCACAGTCCCAGGATACATGTAGGGGCCCATAAAACTCTCAATCCGCCATAAAACTCGTTCTCAGTGCTTATTGCCAGATGTCAGCAATTCAAACTGAAATCTCCCACAGCAAGGATATGCCTCTAGATGATTAGTATGGGCAATTTTCGAGGAACAGGGTTGAGCTGGTTTTGAGACTCAGGCAAAAGGAAAGATGTTATTCTCTGCCTGTTCAAGCATCTTCTGTTTTAAGCAGCCTTTGTATCTCCAAGTTTTGATAGCAGAGCTGAAAATCTGGAGCACTAGTGGCCAAGATAATACAATCATGCAAGTTTTAGTCCCCAGGGAAATCTAGCTAAATTCATCAAATTCATAAGCATTTTTCAGATTACAGCTTCAATACCATACTGTAGAAACTTACTAGTTTTATAGCTAAAAGCCTACCGAGTTTCTTGGTGGGCACAAAATCACAAGACCATGCAGGCTGGATCACAAAATGACTCATTTGAGTCTGTGCTCTGGACTAACCTTTCAGTAGTCCCACCCCCTGCTCAAAGCAGGTTGCTCAGGGCTGTGGCAAGCTGAGGTTTGAACATCTCCAACTGGAAGACTGTAAGATGAGAAGTCAGACACAGAAAGAAGGAGTAGCTGGAAGAAGGGTAGACTAATAGATTGAGGATTTTCACATGACAGGGGAATTAGGGCATTCTGGGAGAGGAGCCTTGGAACTGAGTGAGAATCCAGGAGAGAGAAGCCCAGGCTTGCCAGCATGAGAATGAGGTAAGGACAAAGTATAACAGATGAGAAGACGAGACTGGGACTGGCTGAAAGAGGACTCCATATGAATTTTTCCACAGCTCCCCTTTCCTTTTACTCCAAAATCAAACCAGAACCATCCACTGGAAAGGTCTAGTCAGACTCTTGACCTTGCAGCCTACATTGCAGAAGCTGAATGTGCCCAGTGTATGAGACCAGGATAGCATTTTGATTAAGACTCCTACAACAACGTGCTGCTCTGAAGAACTGGATGCTTCCTTTTCTATTGCAGTTTTCCCTTACAGTGTTGCTCAAGTCAGTTGTGGTAGCACTGGTATGATCTCCAACTGAAGAGGAGGGATGGGAACAAGACAGGCTGCCAGGTAGCTTGAGAAGGAAGGGAAGAAACAGTGGAGAAAGACACTAGTGTCACTCACTCATGGGTGAGGAAGACTTTGAAGATATTTCAGTACAGACAACCCTGGGGGTAGAGAGGGGCCTGCTGCAGCTTCCAGAAAGTGAGGAAGGGCAGAGGGTAGGTAGGACTTTATGTATCAATGGCCAGCTTCTTGCTACGAACTCAGCACAAATGGCATGCCATTGAGCAGGCAGGCACAACTCCAGTTTTTTTTCTGATTGTTGCACTTGACATTCAGATCCTCATTTCACAGAACCATAGAATGGTTTGGGTTGAAAGGGACCTTGAAGATCATCTAGTTCCAATCCCCCTGCCATAGGCAGGGACACCTTCCACTAGACCAGGTTGCTCAAGGCCCTGTCCAAATGGCCTTGAAGACTGGCAGGGATGGGGCAGCCACAGCTTCTCTGGGCAACCTGTGCCAGTGTCTCACCACCCTCATATTCAAGGATTTTTTCCCAATATCTAATCTAAATCCCCCTCTTTCAGCTTAAAGCCATTCCCCCTTGTCCTATCACTACATGTCCTTGTAAAAAGTCCCTCTCCAGATTTCTTGTAGGTCTCCTTTTAGGCATTCGAAGGTTGCTATAAGGTCTCCCCAGAGCCTTCTCCAGGCTGAACAAGCCCATCTCTCTCAGCATGTCTCCATAGGAGAGGTGCTTCAGCCCTCTGAGTACCTTCATGGCCTTTTCTGGACTCACTTGAGCTGGTCCATGTCCCTCCTGTGCTGGAAGGCCAAGAGCTGAAATCAGTACTGGAGGTGGGGTCTCAAAAGAGGGATAGAATCATCTCCCTCAACTGGCTGACTTTTGATGCAACCCAGCATGGTTGGCTTTCTGGGTCGCAAGCACACATTGCTGGCTCATGTCAAGCTTCAAATATACCAGCACCCCCAATTCCTTCTCCTCATGGCTAGTCTCAATCCATTCTCTGCTTGGGATTGCCCCAGTCCAGGTGCAGGACCTTGTACTTGGGCTTGTTAAACCTCATAAGGCTCACACTGGCCCACCTCTCCAACCTGTCCAGGTCCTTCTGGATGGTATCTCATCCCTCCAGCATGTCAAGTGCACCACACAGCTTGATGTCATCAGCAAACTTGCTGAGGGTGCATCAATGCCACTGTCCATGTCACCAAAAAAGATGTTAAACAGCACCAGTCACAATACCCACCCCTGGGGAACACCACTCATCGCAGATCTCTACTTGAACACTTAGTGGTGGCTATAGCTCTTTGAGGGTGACTATTTATTCCTCATTTTCTGCATGCTTTGAGACCCTAGGATCCGATTTCCATTCCCAGATATCAATGAAGAAAAGAGTTTCCTTACTTGGTAAAGACAGTATAAAGTTCTTCATAACACTGTACTGTGAAAAATCAGTTCCCAGGTGCTACAGACAGGACTGCCCAAAGTACTTACGGTCTTCATTTCTCTTTACCTGGGTTCCCAACTCATCTCCTTATAATTATTTTAGAAAACCAGATTAATGTGTGAAGCAGCAAGATACAGCACAGTAAAGCACTATGAGAACAGCCAAAAAGACACTTGTATTAGACCCTCTTTACCCTTAGATTGACAACATCTCTTCATCCTGCCACTATACAGAGTGATATTGAGGTTATATTGTGTGCCAGGGCTTGAATACTAGCCAGTAAGAAAGGCCGGGGGGTCATCCTCAAAATAACATGAGGCATAATAGAACATTGGCCATCTGTGCATTCAGTGAACATTGTCTACCCTGCTTGCTAAATGATTCAGGAGTCCAGTGGAAAATATAATCCACGAAGATGTAATTAAATACCACATCACAAACTGTGCAAAACAAGCTAAATTAAGATGACATGGGAAAATATAATTCTGCATTGCCTTTGCTTTGGTTGGGGGATACGAATTCAACACATAATGTTCCTTGAAAACAGTGTCTGAGATTGTTTGTATGTGTAAGTGTGTGGGCCTATATACTTTGCATTCTGTATTTTCACTGCAACTGTATTTGCAGCTTCAGAGTTGCCTGTGAACACTGACAGACTGCCAATGTTAAATATTACCTGGTAAACTCAGTGTTACCTTATTTCAATGTGTTGCCACTCACAATGAAAACCAGTAACTTCTGAATTTAGATCTAATTCTTGACATCACATCTGGCCCAGCACTGTGTCCAGTTCTGGGCTCCCCAGTATAAAAATGATACGGACTTGTTGGAACGAGTCCAGCAAAAAGCCACAAAGATGTTTAAGGGAATGAAACATTTTTTACTTAAGGAGCAGCTGAGAGCTGGGACTGTTCAGCCTGGAGTAGAGAGGGCTCAGAAGGGTCTTCTCAATGTGTATAAATACCTGATGGGAGGGAATGAAGAAGAGGGAGCCAGATTCCTCTCAGTAGTGCTCAGTGAGAGGACAAGAAGCAACAGACACAAATTAAAACACACGATACTCCATTTAAATACAAGAAAACACTTTTTTTTACTGTGTGAGCGATTAAATGCTGGAATAGTTTGCCCAGTTGTGAATTCTCCAGCTGTGGAGATACTCAACTGAACAGCCTTGGGAAACCTGCTCTAGCTCACCCTGCTTGAGCAAGGGGATTGGACAAGATGACCTCAAGTTGTCCTTTCTAATCCAAATGACTCTGCCATCCTGTAAGATAGAATCATTCCCACAGTTTGAACCTTTGGTATCACTCACCACAATGTTTGCTATTTAAGAAAGAGTAAGGCATATATAGCCTCCCATGAACAGGGCCAACTGGTCCTTGCAGCGATGTCTCCAAACTCCATTTTTTTGTTTACTCCGTAGAAAAGATGTTCTACAAGCATTTGCTAGCTTCATGATAACTGATGCAGATCGAAATAGCACTGGACTCAGTGTACCTAGGTGTTTACAGAGACTGAGATTTCAAACTTTCAGATTTTTCAGGGCTTCAAAAGAACTGCCTGCAAGTTCAATGTCTGCTTAAGTGTTTTGCTTAAGGGGAGCCTGAAATGTATTGCCAAACAAAAAAGTAATTACAGTTATTAAAATCATGTCTAAAGTACTGTTGATTCAATGTTTCATTGTTCATGACATATAGCTTTATTAATTATTTTATTAGACATCCGTAACGTTGCCAGTATGATGCAATGCAGCTACCACAAAGTATTTGCTGGTTTTGGGGAGGAAACAGACCATCTCCAATGGAAATACTTCATTCAGAGGGCAAGAAAAGGCAATAACCCAAGGTTCCTCCTGGACAAATTCTACCCTCCTTGGCAGACAGTATAACTGCAGAGCTCCCCTCTGCATGCAACAGCACAGAGGTTGTAGAAACTTACCTACAAGCCTATCCAACTCTTCAGAGAATACAAATCAAAATTACAAGCCCTCCTGCTCTACTTTTCGCCCTCCCATTCTACACTTTGTTGTCCCCCCACAGAGGACACTGAGAAGGGAAATAAAATATAGTTTACTTTAACCTTGTTTTCAACTTTATTTGACATCGCAGATCATCTATTTTTTTTTTTTCACAACATCTCCTTCTCAAGGAATTTTTTAAGAGTTCACTATATACAGAGAATGCCTGAGTTGTTATATGCCTGTACAGTGTTGCTATTTATCAATAGCATTGATAAATATGATGAGATTTTATGCCCATAATATGGGCATGCTAGCTATATTGTGTCTGTCTGATAGGACTTCTTAAAAAATCAAGCCTAAGGCATACTCCCAAACACAACAGTGGGCCAGAAGGCCTGTGGTAGAGGGCCTGATAAGGATGCAGAAGCTGAGCTGAATTCATTTTCAATGTTTGTTTTTAAAGGCTGCTGAGTATATTATGCTATGGTAAGATTAAGTAAATGTCAGGTTACCTAGAGCTCTTGCATAGGTATTTCTTCTATTATTAGTCAGATTTAGATAAACAAATTTACATTTACTGTACCTTTAACTGAAGCACCAAGTCCATGCAGTATTTGCCAAGAGGGTTTATGTCATTCAAGATGAGTGCAATTATAATATCAATCCCATTAGACTCATGGGTGGCTATACAAGTCTGCAAAATAAGAGAAGGGAGTTGGGGGGGTGATGATGGAGGAAGGGAAGGGGGAAAGAGGGAGACAGTGAATATGTGCATGAGCAAATTTCCAAAACAAGGACCCAGAATTTGAAAGACCTTGTAACACCAAGGTGGTACAAGTCACAGACAGCAGCCCACAGGAGCACTGCCAGATTTAGCTGAATGCACATGCAGAGACACAAAGGACATGCTTGAATGTGGGCACAATCAAATTTGCATACTCAAGTTTTTAATTTACATTCAGCAACCAACATTAATATCACTGTTATAGCATGAATTGTTTGTGAAGATTAAGTTTTTCTACATGCATCTGAACATGTCCTACATAGAAGGATATTTCTGGACATGGTATTCAAAACTGTAAACATGATCAACAGTGCTTCCCAAATGCTTTTACAGCTGGAGTCTTGGACCTTCTAAGCCTTGTAAATACGTGTCAGTTATACAAAATGCTATGATATTTTTTCTTCTAGCAGGTTTATAGGACAATAAGAAAGGAAAAGTTTTCCAGAAATACAGAGAAAGGGGAAAAAATGAAAATGAGAGTGTGGAACATTTTCCTCTGACATACACGAAATTAGACTTGAAATTGGTGTAAACAAGCATTACTCAAATCCTGATTAACTTTCCATCAGGTAGGTTTAGGTAATAAAGTGTAACGAATCATTCCTTTCCACCGCCAGTGTTCTTCCAGTGCTCCTCAAGTAAACTTGTTGGAGAACACCTTAACTTGAAACATACGTTTATTTTTTTTTCATCTCCAGTCCTGTAATTATTTTTTGCAGACGTTTTTCCCATTCACTAGTGAATCAAATACAACTATTTAAAATTTAGACCACTAAAGGATTTTTGTTTGTTTGTTTTTAAAGTATAAAGGCGGTTGATTACCAGCAATGGCAATAATACCACTTTATACCTCTTTTGTGCACATTAATGAAGTAGCATTAATACTGTATGTATTTCTTCAGCTATTTCTAGTATCAAGAATAGACTGCCTCTGTAATTTCACCCACCACAATTTTTCCATTGCTAATCCACAGCAAAAATTATGCAATTTCATACACTGTGACAAATGTACTATGGTTCTCTTCAGATCAAATATAGCAGTGTGTAACTACATTCTTTAACTTTCTATACTGCCTCACCAAGGCACTAAAGAGACATCTACCAAAAGTCACAGCTATATGACTTAAAAAGACTGCATCAAGCAAGGCACAGAAGATTAGAAGTATGGTCTGCAGTCTCATCCATTTCACTACTAATATCATAATTAAAGATGCTGCTAGGTAGTATAGCAGGATAGTTAAGTTAAACTTTGTGGCAGTTATGTGAATTAAGGAAAGTAAATATTAGCAACCTATGTAAACACTAACAAAGGCAAAATGTATGAAAATGAAGAAAATAAGATTGTGTTTGCAATGTACTTCCACAGCTATGACTCAAAATCCAGTCACAAAGTGAGGTTTAAGCCACGGACTCATTGACGTAAGACATTAAACTCTCTCCAAAAGGACCGGAAACCCTCCACGTAAGCAGATGTACTACAGGAAGAGTTTGAGTTCTGACTTCAGAGGATTTCTTAGGCCTTATGAAGGCTTGAAACATGTTAAGCCTAGTTATAGCAGTTACAAGTGAATTCTTTGAAGGGTTTATGATAAGCACACAGATTCCATACATTCAAGTATACTCTTCTATATCCAGAAATTATTCGAGCCCTACCTGGTTTTCATGGCATGGACCTTGGCAATATTCAGTCAAGCTTTCCAGTGTCTGGTTCACAAGAGCCACATTCCTCTCATTGATGTAAAGCCCCAATAAGCCCAGCCCACCTGTTGTGCTTCCACAGATACAGTCCAAAAACTGAAGGGTCTCACAAACCAGGTTGTAATTTGTTTTATTGTTCTGATGTCTTAAAAAATTCTGATGGATGGAGAAAAGGAACACACACCGGAAAAAAAAGTAAAAAAAAATGAAAAAATAGAGTTAGAGTTAAGTTAAACAGTCTTTTTCATTAAAATATTGAAGGGTACAATTTATGACTATATGACCACTGTACCTTAGGTACTGAAATACACTAAGTACACTACACTGTGGAAAATACATTATGCGTTGGCGCTGCAGTTGAAAACTATTATCTGATTAAATCAGTAGAGAAAAAAGGGCTTAGGAAAGTGAACTCTGCAGACATCTGCACTGGCCTTAGATGTCTTATATATCTTCTTCACACCTGTCCTCATCCATCTATTATGACCTTTCTCTTGGAAGCATGTTGCCCCATAGCTGAGCAGGTATGGTGGCACATTACAACTGCTCCTTGGCCATGTCAGCACAGAATGGTAGCTCAGCTCAAACCACTCCCAAGACTGCTTTCAGGGAGGCTGCTGGACACAGCACTGAGGTATATTTGCAGAAAATTCATTTTGCAAAGGTTGCTATGGGGACAGTAATTTCTACCAGAGCAGCTGATAGCAGGGAAACACGTAGCATCTTAAAACCTTCAATCACAATACCTAGCAAAAAGAGCAGTACCCAAACTTTGCACAGAAACTTCCTGTGGTCCTCAAGCCTGTGGTAAGCGATCCACCGTTTATGCACAGAAACCACACTAACAGGGACATTTAGACATTTCTCAATCCCATGTGGCTATGCTGTAGTCCTGAAGCCATTCTGAGGACATAAACATGAGCTCAACCAGAGCATGTAAGTGGCTCTTGAAAGGGTTGTTTTATCCCTTGGACCAAAAGAAGAACAACATTTTAGACACCCCCATGCTGTAACAGGAGTGATGCACTTCCCTTGTGAAATCCCAGTTCCTGTAGTATTTCCTTTGGAGCCCAACTCAAAGACACTTTACCTGGAGCTCTCGATTGTGGTTCTCACACAGCAGCTGAAGAAACCTCAATATTGGCTGCATGATTGCAATGGTAGGGCTCATGATTGCTTCTTCTGTGGACTTCTCTTCTGCATTTCCAGCATCTGTTCCTGAGCCCATAAGATCTATTTCTGGGTCCATTTCTCTTCTATACACAGAGTAAGCCTTTGACGTTGCAGATGATGCTTCTGTTAACTGTCCTTTCATACCCTCTTTCAGATGCAGGGTTGAATCCTTTACTGAAAAGAAGATAATTTTCCTTCATTTTTGAAGCTCTTTTGATTAAATAATAAGAAAACAATAATAATGAATGCAAATTTTCCTTTGTTGGGGACTAACTTTTCAAAGACCTCAAGGCAACTTACAACGAACATGAAAGCAACATTCATGCAGGGATAGCATGTTCCAAATAAACCACAAACCAGAGTGAAACAGAACATTAAAACAAAAAGCCCTACTATTTCACTCCCTACTATATACAATAAATGATGAGAACAATGGAAGGACCACAGGGTGGGAAATCAGTGCCTGTGCTTGCTCTTGTGAAATAGCCCCATTAGCAGCAGCCTTTACTTCTGTGTCTCTAAAACATGGTTCGATATCTTCTACTGGTGTAAACTGGCATAACTTCACTGATTTCACCAAAGCTAATTCCTTGCAACCAGCTTAGGAGGTGCCCTATAATTTAGAGAAAAACAGGTAAAAGTTGCAAAGTAACAGTGATTAGTATTAAAGCCTATTGATCAACACAGCATAGCATCAGTGGTTCAGCACATGCGGTTTGAATACAATGCACTTCTCCCCTCTTTTGCATGGGTGCGTCCTTACCTCTCTTTTTGGGAATGGATATGGTTAGGTCACTATCATCATCTTTCTTTTTGCTTCCCAAATCAATAGTGTTCACTGTCACTGTCGATCGTATCTCCTGCTGAGCAGCTTTCATGCGGTCATACAGGACTTTAAAGAATTTTTCTGACTTTTTTTGCTCCTTCAGTTGCTGGTAAGTTGAATACTGATAAAAAAAGTATATTCTTTAGATATCAGTCCTCTAAGGAAGGAGAAATACAAAACTACACTTTTTAATTTTTTTTTTTTGGTGAAACAAATGATGAATAATAACTTCACTTACACAGAACAAGTGTTGGTCACTGCCTGACCAGCTCTTTCAGAAAGTGACAAACAAGGCTGGAAACTAAGATTGATGATAACTTTTTAAAATTTGGATAAAATGGTGAATGCTGCTATTTGCAACCTTTCAAATGTCACAATATTACACTTGAAGTTAAATTACTTTGTGACACTATTTCTTTCTAAAGTTATAGTATTTCATCTACAAGTAATAATGAAAATTAATTGTTATTATTTAACAACAAAAGGAAGCATGAAACATCTAATTTGTAGTATTGCAGCCTAGATTATATAAATTTTTGTGCTTCACATAGAATCGGAATTAATATTTTAGGTTATTAAGTAGAGTCCTTTAGCATTATTGTCAAGCAGGCTGAGTACCATTTTCAACAGTTTACAAACTCTATCTTAAAGTAAAAGCCTTTTACAGCCCCTAACGATTAATTTTAGAAAGCTGCAACAAAAATCTCACTTCTTTAACATTTTTTTGGATGCTCTCTAAGGGTCACAGATCGCATTCTCTTTTTTTACAGAATAAAGATACAGAATGGAATTCCTCTCATTTTACTTTTATAGCCCTGCAATGAGGTACAAGTTGGTTATTTAGGCTCCCTTCACAGGCAATGATGAGATATGGGGAAAAACAGGGTGTGATTCATACCACCTCGCCTCTCTTATATCTCTGCTGACCATATAATATGAAGAAACAATCATCTTATTTGTCTAAAACTAGGTGAGAAGAATATCATTCACAAAAAAAAAAAGAAAAAAAAAATTCTGTAGTTTAAAGCAGTTATTTTCTACGGGCTGCGATATGGTCACCTCAAATGGTCAATTTTTCTCTCTTTGGATCTTTCTATGAATGGCCCTAAACATTTCCAGAAAATAACTCGATTTTATTGCTATTATAAACTCGAAGGTATTGCAATTTTTAATTTACAAAGAGAGATATGAAATAACTAGAGATAAAGCTTATATGGCAAAGACCAAATTAAAGGAAGTACTGGGCTACACATAAAGGGACAGTTAAAAAATTGGTTTGACATTGCATAATAACAGGGCATATTTACATTTGTATGATAGCTGTATATATTGCAGTGATAAACTTTTCACAGAATTCACCATATAAAGGTTCTTTTTATTTGTCTCCAGGCTACATGCATTTAAAAATTGATATGTGAATAAGTAAATGAAATAAGTACCTGTGTTTGTGTATTTCCACCTTCAAGCAACGCGATACCAAGCAAAATGCCTTCTGAGAAAATTCTGTCATTTCTGGTGTTCACTATAACATCTATGACTAGTTCTGATGCACCTTCTTTATCCAGAAGGCACTGAATATCAAACATGGTTACTACAGACTTATCTGAGTCTTGTCCTGAAAATCCACCTGCAAGTAAGACAAATATGTACCATTCATGTTTGGTTTCACAAATGTATATGAAAATTAATCTATTGGCAATAATATTTTGCTTTATGTATACAGTAGCAATGTAATAAATTTAATTTTGAAATTCTGTTTCAGGCAAAGTTCCCTTTGAAACAAACAAGATTTTTGTGTGAAATTGCAATGTTAGGCTCTAAGAATAAGAAATGAAATAAAACCCAGAACCATTGTTCTGTCATGATATTCAGACAATAAAGAACTTGGAAATGACGCTGATTTGCCCACTGAACCCCTTTTTTAATTCCACTGCTGCACATACTAAACTGTGATCAGTGCTCTGAAACCACTTTTAAACCTTCTGCCTCATTTCCTATGACATATATTATTTTGGACTTCCATAGAAACCACCCCACAGTAACTTCCCACCCTGTAATAGAATCATACAAAAAAATTAGGTTATAGGGACCTACAGAGATCATCTAAAACTTTCTGCTCAAAGTAGTTAGTGCAGGTTCGTTAGTCTTGTCCAGTAAAGCTGTAGCAAGAACTGACACATTCTTGTGTAAGTCTGTTCCATCGCCCAACCAGTACCTTTGTGAGAAGCTTTTCCTTGTATCTTTTTTTCATGTATCAATACGGGATCAAGAATTAAAAAAATAAAATAAAATATTTATCTTCCAGAACAGCAACATCTTTGTTCACATGTTTTGTGCTTTGCCATATATCTGGATGTGGATTTACTGGCAAATTAAAACAGTGTTACGAATTGGACCTGAATTGAATGATTGACTGGGGGGCATGGGGAAAGTCCCTACTTCAGGACTGCTAAATGCACACCAGACATCTCAGTAAAGTGCGTGCAACTTAAAATCAGGAAAAGTCTGATACTACCTCTCTTCTAACAGGTTACAGAATTGTTTGATTTATTTACCAACTGAATCCCTGGAGCACTTCCAGTGTGCCTATTAGAAAAAATGATGCTGCTAATTTTGGTTGCTTCAAATGATCTGTGTTGATTTACCTCCCACTTGTGCAGTTTTGCTGTAGCTGGCAGCCAGAGGCCCATTCATACCACTTCCATATTCTCCTTTAAAGTAGCGATGTAAGAGTATTTTCCTTAAAGTGTTGCCCTTTAAGACATGGATAAAAATAGAAGAAGCAAAAGTTGTAGCCGACTTCCTTTGTTTGAGAAGCAAACTGTTTAACATAGATACATAATTTATCAGGTCTTTCTGTTATAATTAGTAATCATACAAATAGTAAAGTTGTCCAGAAAACAAACATTAATGGTCTTACCTAACAAATCTCATGGGAAGAGTTCTAAAACACTGTTGTATAAACTTTCTTTGAAGTTTCTTTTAAAGTTACTGATTATATATAAAATACCTCCACCTCTAGCTGTAAGAAATGTATACTGAATATATTGAAACAAGTTCTACAAAAAGCCAATGCTCTACAGTGTGTCTATGCCCTACCCTGCCATGGCAGTACTTTCTTCCTATTTTCTGCAGCTGAGTAGTATCACTCCCTTTCTCTGATCTCAGATAATCCAGCTGATCATCTGAAAGAAGCCACATCACATGAAACTTTAAAACAGAGATATGACATTTGAGAGAATAGCTTAAAAAGCATTCTTTCTACCTCCTTGTTCTTTTACCTACAAAACCTCAACCAGTCAAAATTTGCATGCAGCTCTCTGAAGATCTTCCTTTTCATTTTGCTTATGCTCTGCAACACAGAACACATTGAATTAAGAGCTGGGGGTACCAATTACTTGGCCATTTTATTTTGCCTTCAGTCTCCTGGGAACACCTGCAGTCAACACTCAGCTTTACAGAGGAAGAAGGTGACACAGCTGTAGGTCTATGTGTAACCTAAGATTTTATAAAGAAAAGAGTACGGCAAGGTCTCTGATGATTACCACAGAAGGGGAAAAATCATTCATTTCAATAGGTTGGCAGTAAAATGGGACTACTTTTCCTTACTTTTATTCACCTACTGGCTTTAATGAAAAACGGTTCTTGAAAATATGTGCACCAGAAGCATTCTCAGTACTTACCAGCTCACCAGCGCCTGCACATTAGTGCAACAGTCAACTTTGCAATCAAAACATCTCTGTGGCCACCACAGAAAGCAAGCAGTAAGGAAGCATGTCCCAGACATGCCTCAGGAAGCACTACTTGCAATCCCACTTCTCTGTTAACTTAGCAATATTTCCAAGAGCACCACACCCCCACTGGGGCTTCACTGCTTTATGGACCTCAGAGACAATGGGCTTGTCCACCCCAAACAAAAGCCAGAATACAGTATGTGTAGCCAGACAACACAAAACAGCCATTCTTTCCTAGTTCTCACTTTATGATGTTTCATTTTGGTAATAGCCTATACAGAGTTCCTTTAAACAGCCAAGAAAAGTACAAGGCCTATAGTATAACATCAAAGCTATAAATACAATGCAAGAAATACAAAAAGCACCATGTACACATCTGCAGTGCCATATAATTTATTAGATGGATTTTCCAGGTAAGCTAAGCCAGAGTGCTCTGCACTACAGAGGAAGACAAAGAACCAGAAGTCTCTGAGGACCTCACATGGAGAGAGATTCCTCCCCAGCCTAGTTAACGATGGGGTTTAAATCTGCATGCATGGACAAGGTATGTTAACCAATCTCATAGAAGATTTTGAGATAGCTAAGAGTACCAGCTCCTCCTGTTCAACATCCTGCCTCTAGCTGTGACCAAACTGCAATGTCTTAGAGGAAAGTGAACCTCATTTTTCTCATCTCCTGAAGAAGACAAACTTACTGCTGAAAAGGTTCCCACCAGAACTGATAAGCACTAACTGAGAACCAGGATAAAGTCTCTTTTCAAACTCTCCCAGGCACATCCTATCACAGAGTCATAAAACTGTATCACACAAATAGAATCACAGCACAGAAACACTTCCTAACATCAGCCTAGGACCTGATGCAGAATGGGCACTGCACTGAGACAGAATCTTTTAATCGGAAAGGCTGGCATTTGCCATACCACTTGATTAACCACTCGGCTTGAGGGAACATCCTCTACCAGCAATCTATGCAGTCTGTGGATGACTAACAGAGCGCCATGGTAAATTATATAAACATTCACAGTGCAGTCATGGGAAGAAACACCACAAGCCATCTATCTATAGTTAAGAATAACAACCGTGGTCACGAGCTTTATTATTCAGTCAAAACAGTCTTTATTTTATCAGGAAGAATGTTTAAGACCATGAAATAGCATTTGACTAATAAACTGAATGATTTAGCACTTGAGTCGTATTGCCTGGAAGCACTGTTATCACTTCTCAGATCTTCTCCCTGCCTGTTTACCTTCAAAGACAACAGGAGGAGCAGCAAAATGAAAGGCTATGGAAAGGGGAATTCTACTCCACTCACATCCAAACTAAGGCAAGGACTTCACTTTTTGTCCCAAAGGAGCAAGTCTTAATTATTAGAATTCCTGCTCTCACTTTTTCTCTACTTTGATCTCCCATGAATCCAGACAACTCCTAGAGCTCTCAGAAGCCAGAGTATCAAAATTCAAGGACATCCGTGTTTGAAAAGCAGAAATGTGCTGGAACCTCTGCTTTGCCTGACAGCTGTGCCAAAAACACAGCCTCAGACTCAGCCCACATAGTTGCAGGCTCGGGGTCTTCATCCCCTGTGATGACCTTGGGAAGCCAGATGACCTCCCCAAAACTTGTGATATCAGCTGCTACTACAAAGAGCAGAAAAGCCCATCTGTATGAACCAGAGATGAGAAATGTGCAAATGCTCATGCAATGTATCAGAGACACCTGGCACCTCCAGCATGTAACTAACTGTGTGAGGCACCATGCTAGAAAATGCTGGAAAGACCCTGCTTCCAGAAGAATTGCTGATCCTACTGGCATAGGTGTCTGGGTATGCTTTTATGGGAATGCCTAAAAACATAGTCAAGAACAGCCCCATCATTTGGACAAGACAACCTGCTGCCAGGGTGAGACAACTATACCATTAATATCCTTGTAAACAGTTTCCAAACTCAGTATAGCCACAAAATTAATATTGCCCAAAAGCAAATGATCACAGCAGTAGCATGAATAAGCAGTTTGCAGCAACTATTATTGACACTTGTGTTACTAAAGCAGAGGCCTGAAGTAAAATCAACTAGGTAGCACAGCACTATCTTCCCTGACTAGGTTCCTACATGTGCAACAAGTCCCGACCTTCCAAGCTGAATCTCTCCCTTGCTGGCTACAATACGCTTTCTTTTATACCTTTTTATTAGAGTACGGAAGTAGCATGTAAACATCACTCAGCTGACTGCAGTCCTTCTATAATGGCTAGAACATTGTATAGCTTTGAAAAAACCCACAATGAAACATAACAGTCTTATTGTTACCCATGAATACCACTGTATTGTCTCTAACAAAAGCTAGGATGAAGACTGAGGACACAAGAAAGGAACAACTGGTTATTGTTGTTGCAGTTTTAAATAGCTAGGGATTGACAGACAAAAGTTTCCAACAGGGAAAAATTATTCCAATAGGAACATGTAGATACAAACAAATTACATTTTCTCAGTCCGTATTTCATTATACTAGTTGGTCTTTAAATTTGATTTAAATGCCTTAATAAAATGGTTTATTCACTTTCCTTCTCCAAGCCTGCAAAAGGCTCATTCCATGTAAGGATAGGGTGTTCTGCATGTGGAAGCAAAGACACAGAAAGAGGTACATAGGCTTATCATGGATACCTGCATCAGCACCAGCTCGCTGTATGACACTACCAAAAAATTATTTGTCCTGTAATTGCACAATTCTTAAGGAATTTGAATGATATTTATGATGTTCAGAAGGCTGAATTATATGTTCTGGTGATATCTTCTGGTTTTCATTCTACATTAAAATAACAAAGTGGAAATGCTCAGATTATCAGTGATAACACAGAAAAGGCAGCCATGCCCAAGAAATATTTCTGTGATACAGTGGATGATGTTGTAAGCATATTTCAGTATTAATCCAGGAGGATTTAAAATTAGGCATGTTACATCTTCAGATTTGAATAACTTGAAGCCAAGTATAAAAAGGAGCTGGCTTGGATCCCTGGTCTCCTAATTCAAGTTTTCAGAAAGTTTGGAACAGACAGAAAATCCTAGAGAACCATAAGAACCCTAACATGCAACAATGCTCTTGAAAAAGTATACAGGAGTACTTTTCATACTTTCTAGTGGTATCAAACCCACTGCAGTGAGTTTGATATCAATTCAGAGAAAAACAGAGAAATGGCTGGTTTTGAGTTCCATTAACAAAAATTAAAGGAAGCTACTATAAACTGATGGCAGTTATAGTACTGGCATAATGTTGTAATAACTGCCTCATTATGGGCTTAAGAAAAATAGACCTTCTCAAACTTCTGAAGACTATTTTCTGGGTTTGCTAGTAATGAAAATATCAGTCTGGTAAAATCTGATAAATTGGTAGTGTCACACAATAGTGTAATGCAGTATTTTTTAGTAAGTAACCACACAAGGATAGTTATCAAATGGCTTAACAGCTAAAGTGAATGACAGAATTCAACGTGCAATTTAAAGCAAGAAATCATAAACGAGTGTATGGGCTTCTAACCTCATGGAGTATTTATTGTCTGCCTGATATTCTTTTTTCGATGAAAAAGAATACAGAAAATAATTATTAATAGCATTCATCACAGACACACAAAAAAGGGGATAAGGTCAAGTCACCAATAACAGTTTAGGCCCTATTTATTAAACCGACCAGAAGAAAACAATATGACCCTCATTATGTCCAAACCTCTATAGGTGTAGTTATAGGTGCAATAACAATAAAATGCAGAACAACAGAAAATGAAGGTCTCAGTTTAAGGAGGCCATGTCTCTGGGGAAGGCTAGAAGGTCTTGGAGAAAGATCAGTGGAACAACAATTCCCAAAATCACATATCCTAGAAAGAGTAACAAGAGCTATTATGTAGGATTCCTAAGCCTATCTTACTTCTCCACATGCAGGGGCATGTTACTGTAGGAATACTGTATCACAGGTTGGTATCCATAATTCAAGAAGAATGCTAACACATTGGATTAGGTTTGGGGAAGCTCCACAAGAG